TTCTGTGAACCTGAGGTCATTTAAGGAAATGAAAAACATTTTTTTGAAACCCACATAGATGGATGCTTGCCCTAGTGCAGTGCTTGGTTCACAGTGGTTACTCAGATAAGTACTGTCAACTCCTTGGGTATTCAGGTACTATACTGCCAGCTCCTCAGAGGGTCACCTGGGAGTAGGAGACCTAACACACCATTGCAGAGCAGTGAAGCAGAGACAGGCTATGAAATGTCACTAGGACAGTTATCACTAGACTTAGAATCTCCTTGCCTTGGTCTACCGAGTCCTGCTTTGAAATCTAGAAATAGAAAACAATCAGGATTGGGGGATTGATGGAAAAGTGCTCCCTGAGATCTGTTGTGTGATCTAGAGATGTAGGAGACCTTGCTATCTTCACAGAGTCTCTCAGCTATTGAACGACAGAATCAAAAGTAAACTAGGCCTCGTTCCCAGACCCATGTGTTCATCACGCCACTGAGTGAAAAACAGTCATTTGTTTATCTTTACATAAGTGCATTTGTTGTAGCTCTCATTCCCAATGCGAAGAGTAGAAAAATTACATTGCAGTGATTTCCACCCAATTCCATGTGATTGACAGCTTTACTTCACACTAACCTTGAAGCAATTTATTTGGTTTCTGAGAAAGTTTAATTTGATGCTTCCAGAGCAAGACTGACAGTGTTGGAGCAGGAACAAAATGACCACAGGATTCTAGTATTGTTGATTGACTCTGCTTGCTGTGGTAGAATCAAGTCAAATCAGTTTATGTAGAGTTTTAAGTCTAATAAGATTTTGAATCTCTTTAATTCTGTGTACACAAATGCTCCACATATATCATTGTATGAAATTCAAGTTCACTATTATTTTGTAGTTAAAATAGTTTAGACTACATAATGATCACCTGAAATTTATTCTGAGTACTAAAAGAATTAAGATTACTTTTAGTTATTCTTATTTGTTACCCTTAAAAACAGTTTGCTCACTAGAAAAATAATCTAAAATGTTAAGTGAGAAATAGTAAGATTATTACCTTAAGGTCTTGGTAGGCCAAAACAGAAGAATTCTATAGATTTACTTTTGGAAATTATATTAAATCTGGAAATTTTGATTTTTATTTTGGTTTGGGTTACATTTAGGTATATTATTACACAGAATTTTCTTTGGGGATTATTGAACATTTGTGTCTTATAGAACTTTTTGTATATTATGTCTTATTTATTATACTTGTGAATGGGATATTCAACACATTTTAAGGATTTTTCTTTTATTTCCATATGTACCTTTGGATCCAAAAAGCCAAGTGTATATGTGAAACAATTTTTCCTCTTTTGCAGAATTAAACGTGAGGGAGTCTGATGTAAGAGTTTGTGATGAATCATCCTGTAAATATGGAGGAGTCTGTAAAGAAGACGGAGATGGTTTGAAATGTGCATGCCAATTTCAGGTAAGGAAACCAAATTTTGAAAAATTTTATATTCTTCATATTTTATAATTCTTCATTCTTCAAATTAAAAAGCTTAAAATACTTTGAACCCTACAATGAAGTTGGGTTCACAAGCCCACCAGTTCTTTTTTGTCAGATGACGCCTTATGATTTGTACCTTCCATACTACTTGCCTGGAATTAAGAGGACAGATTGGCAATAATAATAGATGTGAAAATGCTTTGAAAAAAAATATTAAAGTTCTATTTAAATGTGAGGTATAATTGTCACTGAAAGGAAAGAAGGTACAGGTTGCAGTAGAGTCTCTCATTTAAAATGTTGGCATCTTTTTCCTTTTCTTCTCCTTCTAGTCTGTCTCTTTCCCTTCCATTCTTATTTGTTGCTGTTTCATCTCTTCAGGCCAAAGAACTTGACTGACTTGGAGCCTCAGGGTAAGTCAAGGTTACAAATGGAGTAGAAAGCAGAACCTCAAACTGAGAGTGTGAATATCTTTGTTTTTCAGATGCTCTTTTAGTTGTGCTTCTATTGTCTAAAAAAGTAAAAGAAGGGAAGTGGAGTGTGTTATTTAATTCTTCCTTTTTGTTTATTTTCTATGATTAAATTATAGTCTGGCTTCAGCATGTTTTTCACAAGACACGGTCTCTGATTCAGGATTTAAGATGAGACATAGAAGGACATAGAATATTTTTTACACATGATTTTGTTCTAAATGTACCCACCATTTTGGATTTTGAGGGGAGGAAAGGTTATAGAAATCAGAAATGAAAGCATAGGAGAGTTAATATTTCAGGTAACCCCATTACCCCAGGCACATTTCTGTGTTATCTCAGGTCATTTTCTCTGCATC